TTTGCTTTCTCTATTAATTTACATATGCTGGATATTTCATATATGTAGGATCACATAACATGTGATCACTTGCACTGGCCTCCTTCACTTAGTATAGTGTTTTTAAGGTTCGTCTAAGTTGTAGCATGTATCAGTTCTGCATTTCTTTTTTAACATTTTAAATTGGTTATGCAGATTAATGGGCTTCATTTTGGCAGGTTTGTACATTCACAAACATACTTTGATCATTTTCACCTGCCCTCCATCACTTCTTGCCCCGGTTTCCCTCTAGTTTCACATGGCGGGGGGGGGCTCAATGTATATAATAGACGTTGCTCATACCTGACCTTCCTATTACCCATCCCTACCCTGCTCTCCCTCTTACTCTTTTCTTCTTGTCTAATAATAGGCCCCCTTCTACTTTCTTGTTGTCTTTTTTAGATTCCAAGTATTAGAGAGAACAAGCAATATTTGTCTTTCTGAATATGGCTTGTTTTGGTCAACATCATGGTCTCTAGGTCCATCCACCTTCTTGCAAATGACAGAATTTCATTCTTCCTCGTTGATGAATGATACTCCAGTGTGTGTGTGTGTGTGTGTGTGTGTGTGTGTGTGTGTAATTTTCTTTTTCCATTTATCTGTTGATGGACTGGTTCCATATAGTGACTGTTGTGAATTGTGCTGCACTAAACATGGATATGGAGCTATCCCTAAGTATGCTCACTTTAACTGCTCTGGGTATATACCAAGAAGTGTTATAGCTGGATCAAATGATATTTCTATTTTTAGTTTTTTGAGGAACCTCCGTACTGATTTCCATAGTGGCTATACTAATTTACATTCCCATCAGCAGTATAGGCGTGTTCCTTTTTCCCCACAGCCTTACCCAGCATTTCTTGCTTTTTTGTATTCTTGATAGCCATTCTGACTGGGGTGAGATGGAATCTCAGTATAGTTTTGATTTGCATTCCCTTCTTTTCCTTTTATGACTGAATAAAATTCCATGTTTGAATATACTACACTTTTAATCATTCATTTGAGGACGGACAGTTTATTTCTGCTGTTTTGCTGTTATGAATAATGCTCCTAGAGACATTCATATACAAGTTTCTGTGTGGACATTTGTTTTTATTTGTCTTAGATTTCTACCTAGGAGTGGAATTGCTAGGTCATGTGGTAATTCTCTTTTAAGTTTTTGGAGAACTGCCAAACTGTTTACCATAGTGGCTGGACCATTTATATTCCCACCAGCAGTGTAGAAGGGTTTCTGTTTTTCTATATCCTCACTGTCACCAGCGCTTATTAGCTTTTCTTTTTATAATTTTTTGAAGTTATTGCCATCGTACTGGATGTGAAATGATATGCTGTAGTTTTGATTTGCATTTCCCTAATAGCTAATGATATTGAATGTTTTTTTATGTGCTTATTGGTTACATATATAATTTCCTTGGAGAAATATCTATCCAATCTTTTTCTCATTTTTAACTGGGTTGTCAGTAAATGAGTTTTAAGAATTCTGTATGTATTTCCAGATATATGACTTGCAAATGCTTTCCTTTTTATGGACTTTCTTTTCAGTTTGTTGATGATATATCTTGAAGCAAATACATTTTTTATTTTGATGGAGTCTAATTTGTGTTTTTTTCTCATTGCTTTTAGTGTCATATCTGAGAATCTTCGCCAAACTCGAGATTATAAAAGTTTACCCCTATATTTTCTTGTAAGAGTCTCTAGTTTTAGCTTTTACATTTAGATTTGTGATCCATTTTGAGTTATTTTTTTATATATGGTATGGGTAGGAGGTCCAGCTTCATTCTTTTGCATGTGTATATCCAGTAATGGCAGCACCATTTGTTGAATACACTGTTCTTTCCCTTGTTGAATGGTCCTGGCACCCTTGTTGAAGATCAATTAACCTTAGATACAAGTTTAGTCATGCCTGTAGATGTACAGGTAAAGCTAAATATGGAACTACCATATGGCCCAGCAGTCTTCTGAAAGAAGCCAGACATGAAAACTCTACATATTGTATAGATTTTTTATATGAAATGTCTAGAATAGGTAAATCTTTAGAAACAGAAAGCTGATTGGTGCTTGTCAGGGTCCGGAGGGAGAAGGAATTGCTAATACTAAATCCATGCAGGGTTTCTTTTTTGAGTCAAGAAAATGTTTTGGACTAGATGTAGTAGATGTACACAGCATTGTGACTATATTTAAATGGCCTTGAATTGTTATCTTTCTATAAGGACACTAATCCCATTATGGAAAGTCTCCCTTTTTTATTCATCAAAACCTAATTACTCCTCAAAGCTGTAACCCTAATATCACTCTGGAGGTTAGGGCTTAATGAGTTTTTTTGGGGGGGGGCAAACATTTGGTGCATAATACTTAGCAGAGTCTTCCTGCAATCTTCCCACAGCTTCTTGATGCAGTTTTATCTTTTGTCAAATGTATCATAGTATCTTTTTTTCCTGGAGCCCTTTGTCTTTGAGTTACAATCTAAACTGGTAGTTCCTCAAGCTGGCTATGCAGCTGTGGTCCTGGGAATTCTTTTACTCTCTTCATGTTGAATCTGCTTTCCGGATCTTTTATCTTCTTTTGAGGCTTACATTCTCATTTTGTTGGCATCCATTCTCCAGTAGCTGCATGAGAAAGGATATATTGTGGGCAATTTCTGTGTGTCTTTGAAGTGATTTTTATTCTACTAACTTTTTTTTTATATAAAGGATTGAACACAGGGTCTTTGCACTGAGCTTTATCTTCAGCCCTTTTTTATTTATTATTTTGAGACAGACAGGGGCTTGCTAAGTTGCACAAGCTGGGCTCAAACTTGCCATCGTCCTGCCTCAGTCTCCTAGGGTGCTAGGATTCCAGGGCTGCACGACCTGGCTCAGCCTTTACCAACACTTTTGATTATTTGGCTCACTAGAGATTTTTCAGTTGAAATTCACTTTCCCTCAGAATTTTGAAGCCATTACTCCATCTTTAAGATTACAATTGAGAATTTGATCCTGTGCTTCTTCTTTTATATCTATGCTTGCTCTTTTTGAAATCTTTTGGAATCAGAACCTCTTTCTCTGTGGTATTCAGAGATTTTACAGTGCTACAGGTGATATGGTCTGTGTGTGTGTGTGTGTGCATGATTTTCCTAGGTATTTGATGGGCCCTAGAAATGTTATGTTACTCCTTTGATAGTTCTCTCATTTCTTTCCCCTCACTTTCTGACTGAAAGTTTAGATCTGATTTAATTGACATTTTCTCCTATCACATATCTCTTTGTATAACTTTGTTGGCTTTCTGTTGGATTTTGATACTGTGACTCCGAATTTTAATTTTCCTACTCTTATTTTCTGATTGTTTTTCTTCTGTCACTGCCTCTTTCCTCTTCCTCACTCACCCTAGTAGTTTTCTATTACTACTTCTCCACTTTCCCCTTTCCTCTTCCCTTCTTTTATCACCTCCTCTTTTTGACTGTCCTTCTTGTGCTTCTCCTGTTCCCCCTCTCCTCCCATACTCTGTTCTTGATACATATCTTCCGTTACCTCTGAGGACATGGATTTTGAAATTTTTAATTTATTCTTCATTTACTTTATGCTCCCTCCATCTCTCCCCCTCCCCTCATCTCTCTCATTTTTTGTCATGTTTCTACTTTGATTTTCGCCCCACATGATGTTCATTCTTCCTTATGGCCCACCATCTGTAAAGCTGACTAGAAGCTGTGTCGTGGACTGATAGGCTTCACTGTAGAGTCACAGAGCAATGAGCCGGTTCATTTAACTGAAGGATAGCAGGTGTCAGTGTGTGTAAGTTTTTGGAGGTGCTGTTCTTTCAAATTCTAAAGATCTTCAGTATCGTAAATCAGAGTTACTCCTCAATCTGTTCTTAATAATTTAAGGATCTTTAACATCACATTTTCTTGTAGAGGCGTGTAGCTCAGTTTATTCATAAAACAAAAGAGTTGGACTTAATTTCATCTATAACCAATCTGTGGCCTTGCTACAACCCTTATTTAGAATGTGTGTTTAATAATCTCAATATATGTATATAATAAATTAACTCCCATACCTTTTCTACAAAGAACCTTCATGTGGCACAGAAACAAAGGGGTGGGGTGAGCTACTAATGTATCAGACACATATTGTACCTTCTAGGATATATATATATGTATTTTTTTTCTGTCTTATAAGACAGAAAATTATGAGAGCCAGGCACACCTGGATCTGAACTAAAGTAACTACCACATATAAGCTATGTGACCCTGTGTGAGAAAAAACTTCTCTGAGCCTCAATTTTCCCATTAATTCTTCTGTGTGCCAGACTTTGAACCGATACTGGAATGAGAGTAGCAGATCCCTCTTTCTATGGATCTAATGTTTATTATTTATTTTATTAGCCACAATTCTATTTTCATGCTTAAATTTTTACATTCCAGCATTTCTTGGTTGAAATAATGCTAACACATCTTTTTATGTCTATATTATATACTTCTAATGGTCACTTTAAAATACTTTATATATTTACACTATTTGATTGCTTGAATTTAAACTTGAAATGGTTAAAGGTTAAATGAACTATAATAGATTGGAAATTAACTAAAATAAACAGTATTTGGGGCCGGGGATTTAGTTCAGTGGTTTCACCGCCTGCTGCGCAGGCACAAGGACCTGAGTTAGATCCCCGGTACCAAAAAAAAAACCCAAAACATAGTATTTGTCAGAATTTGAGGGCCATGCTTGTTTTATTGTAGTATAACTACTTTATGAATAAATATTGCATCTTCAGCTTTTTGCCATAATGTTTTGATAATTGTTTACATGTTAATTCTTCTGTTAGAGGATATTGTTAACATCTAAGTCTAGGAATTGGAATTCCCTCAATTCTGATATTAAATGCTTTAACAGGAATTTCTATCCTGAGCTTTATGTAACTCAAGGAGCTTATTTTTATGGTGCCGTTCTTGAAGCAGTACATCCTTTAGGGCACTAATAGTTGCATTCTCTTCTCTCATTTTCTCATTTTAGGGAAATTAAAACCAACAATGGCATTCATGTCAGGAAAATTGAAGATTAAAGGAAACATGGCCCTAGCAATCAAATTGGAGAAGTTAATGAATCAGATGCATTCCAGACTCTGAAGGAAAAGAAACGAAAATGAAAAAAAAAAAAAAAAAGAAAAAAGAAAAAGAAACGAAAATGTGGACTGCTGTGCTACAAAAGTAAAAAAGCTCAACAGTTAAAATCTAACATTTGTTGTCTTCCCTGTTGTATTATAAGGATATGCATGTTGTTTTTTTGGTACCAGGGATCAAACTCAGGACCTTGCACTTGCAAGGCAGGCGGCAGAACCACTGAGCTAATCCCCTGGCCCTGCATGTTTGTTCTAAAAAATAAATTTTCTTTATCTATAAAACTTCAAGTTGTAATTAAAATAGCCAAACATAAGCTTCATTAAGTGGAATTTTAAGTCATTTTGTTTTTATAGCTTGAGAGTTTTTCCCTCTGGGCCTTATATCTCATCTTCTTTCAGGAAAATTATGTATTATATACAACCAATCAGGATCAAGCAGTGAAATTAGCTCTTTACAAAACTGCTTCTCCTGTGAAATAAGGGCAGTTTGTTTAAAATTTTTTACTTTTGGATTGTATACTAATGAAAATTGTAATGATAATTTGGATTTTTTTATACTTAAAGAAAATCTATGTGCATTTCACAGAAATCATCTAATAAATACTGCTTAACAAATACGACTTGTCAAAACTAAGTGAAATAAAGTTTTTCATTTTTTCAGCTAGCTTTCCAGATATAGTTATCTATAGGAAAATATTAAGTGTACTTCAACTAATTGCAGTATGCATCCTATTACAAGTATATTAATAAACACTGTCTTGCTATTGATTTACCTATTCTGGATATTTCATATAAATGGAATCATATATGAAATGTTTTCAAGGTTCATCCATGTTATGCATTGTGTCAGTTTTATTACTTTATTATAGGTGCTGCCTCAACATCCATTTTTAGGCCTGACATGTTATGTGAAGCCCCACTGTATACCCTAGTTCAAACTTCCCCTCCTTATGTGGTTGTTTTCAAAAATATAGCCCACTTGGTCTTCTCCTAGTGACCTAAAATTCAACATATCCCACAGCTGCTGATAAAACTTGATGGTCAACACCAGTGTGAGTCTTGTAAATAAGTTCACCCACTTTGCAAATGTTGTCTTTAAATTAGCCAAGCCAGAACTCCCTCAAGAAATGCAAGAGATAATACCCGTGGACCTTAATGAATGCATAGTCCCAAGAATTTCCTTTCTTTTCCTCTTTCCTCGCCCCCACCCCCACTGGTTGATCTCCCTGCTGCCTCCTGATTTCCTGGGAAGAAATAAGAATCTTGTGTTTTATGTGTTTTGGTTTCAGCTGATGGACACACTCAAACTTTTCTCTTCTTTGGGACTCTCCTAGAAAGTGGCCTTTTAGAAAGAGCCCTCAAGACCAAACTAGAAAGAAACTGTGGGGCTGGATGTGGCTCAGTGGTAGAGCACTTGCTTAGCATTCTTAAGGCCCTGGGTTCAACCCCTAGCACCAAAGCAAAGCAAAAACCACCATATCAGTCTGGCATGTTTGGCACATATGTTGTCCCTAGGTGCTCAGGAGGCTGAGGCAGGAGGATAATGAGCCCAAGAGTTCAAAGCCAGCATAGGAATACAGTGAGATCCTATCTCTTTAAAAAGGGGGGGGGGGACTCATAATAATAAAATCACAATAAGCACTGTTACTCCTTTTCATTATCAACTAACATTTCATCATTTGGATATATCACATTTTACTTATCCATTCATAAATTCGTAGACATTTTAGGTTCTTTCCACTTTTTGGCTATCATGAATCATGCTCTTGGAACATTAATGTATAAGTTTTTGTGCTAATGTGTTCATTTCTCTTGGCTGTAGATATGGGAATACTTTGCTAGGTCATATGGTAATTTTGTATAACCTTTTGAGGAACTGCTAGTCTGTTTTCTAAAGGGTCCACACCATATTATACACTAGCAGTGAATGTGGGTTCTGATCCTCCACATCTTCACCAACACTTTTCACTGTCTTTTTTGATTTTAAATATCCTAGTGTTTGTGAAGTGGTTTCTTATTATGGTTCCAATTTCTTTTTCCATGATGGGTCAGTTTGATTGTTTTGAAGATCACAATTTTCTAGTGAAATTCTCCATTCTATAATTCATATTCTTGAACATACTAATCATAACGAAAGGTTGTATCTAATAACTATCTACATCACGTGTGCATTTTTCTATTGTTTTCTCCCTTTTGGCCTTTGTTATGTTTATGTTATGTTCAGTTATGGCCTTCGTTCAGTTCACTTGTTTTTTTGCATATCTGATAATTGTGGATGGAATACCGGATGTTAGGTTTGAAAAATTATGAAGACTTTTCTACCAAAGATTATTTTTTTTGACAAGCAGAAAAATATTGGAATGCCACCTGCAACCAGGGGTGGAGGTAGTTCAAATCTGTGTTGTAGGCATTAGTAGGACTGCTTGTGGTTTGCTTTTACTCCCATGATGTAGTTCTTTAAGGGCCTCAACTGAAACTGAGGTGTTTACCAGGGCCCTTCCTTCCTATTTCTTCCCAGCTCCATGTGACAGCTGAAGATTTCTGCTCAGATTGTTTTTTTCTCTTGGCAGTTGCTTTCTGTTTTGTTTCTTGGCTTCTTGCCCCTTGTTTTATAGGTAGGAATCTGCAAGCACTTTGGGTGGGAGATGGCATACAGAGTGACTGGTTGTTTTTACTGTGATTGCTTTTTCTGTGATCTTGGCCTGTCAAGCCCCAGCTGCCCTAATTAACTAGACCTCCAAATGTTGTGTCTCCACCCCAATGACACTATCCCAAGCTTTGGATGCTTTTCTCTCTTTGGCTTCTGTACTCCACAGACCAACAATACTCCTAGAAGGAAAAGTGGCTGAAAGTGTAGGACTCACTTCAGTGTTTTCCCCTTCCTCCTGGGTGCTTGAACTCTTTAAATCTTGGCTGATTAAGTTGCTCTCCAATAGTTATAAACAGCTTTTATAGTTCTCAGTGGGAGAGTTAATTTGTACAAGGTATCTACCTCCATGATAGCTGGAAACCTGCATCATTTAAAAAATTCAGCATAGGGCCTGGGATTTACTGCTCAGTGGTTCTGGCACTGGCCTGGGAAACACAAGGTCCCAAGTTCGATCCCTGGTACCAAAAAAACCCAAAGAAAAATACTGAAATTTTGGGCCAGGGATTTAGCTCAGTGGTTCCTGCCTGCCTCACAAGTGCAAGGCCCTGAGTTCGATCCCTGGTACCAAAAAAAAAATTCATCATAGCCTGGCATGGTGACAGATGCCTGTAGTCCCAGCACTTGGGAAGGTGAGGTAGGAGGGCCACTGTGAGTTTGAGGCCAGCCTAGGCTACATAATGAGTTCAAGGCCAGCCCAAACCGCACAGCAAGCCCATTTCAAAAAAAAAAAAAAAAAAGGGCTAGGGGGAGGGGTGGGGATTTAGCTCTGTGGTTTTGCGCAAGGACCCGAATTTGATCCCAGGTACCCCCCCCCCCAAAAGGGCTGGGAATGTAGTTTAGTGGTAGAGTGCTTACCTAGCATGCATGAGGCCTTGGGTTCAATCCATAGTACCAACCCCTCAAATGGAAGTAAGTGGAATTGCATGATTTTTTTTTTAAGTTGATTATGGTTAAAACCCCAACATAATATACAATTTACTCTTTTAATCACTTCTAAGCTTATAGCTCAGTAATGTTAACTATTTAAATTGTGTAACAAATCTCTAAAACTTCTTTTATAAAACTGAAACTCTGTATGCATTAAATATCAACTCCCTCTTTATCTTTTCCTCCAGCTCCCTAGAATATTGTTTCCATGATTTTGACTGTGCTACATCTTTCATATAAGTGGAATCATTTAATATTTATTCTTTTGTACATAACTGGCATATTTCACTCAGGATAATGTCAAGTTTCATCCACACTGTAGCATATGACGTGGTTTCCTTTTTTTGGTATCAGGGATCGAACTCCGGACCTTCCACTTGCTTTCGAGGCTGGCAGTGGCACCATTGAGCTAAGTCCCTGGCCCGGTTTCCTTCTTTTTAAAGGCTTATATCCCAGTTTAAGTACATATCACATTTTCTTTATCCATTCATCTGTCCATGACATATAGGCTGCTTTCATCTCTTGGATATCGTAGATAGTGGGGCCGTGCATCTTGGGGTGTCAGCATGTCTTTAAAACCCTGCCTTCAGTTTTTTGGAATATATACTCAAAAGTGAGATTGATGGATCATTATGGTATTTCTATCTTTGAGGTCCCTTTGTATTGTTGTGTATAGTGGCCACACGTTACAATTCCATCAGGAGTACACAAGGGTTCCAGTTTCTTCACAAGAGCACATCTTCAGACTATGTAGCAATTAACTATGTTTTTAGAAAGTACTGTATAGACATTATTGGGCACTGCCACATAAAGCTAATCAGGCATGCTGTGAACGTTACTTACCATTATTATTGTTCTGGAGATACTTAGTGCAGTGATTAGAAAAGGCATTAAAGGCATGAACTCTGGAACCAGACTGCCTGGAATAAGTCTGGGCTCCTCCAGGTACTAAGTGATCTTGAGCAGATTTCTTCATTTCTCTGGGCCTCAAGTTTATCCGTAAATCAGTAATGCTAATAGCACCCACTTCATAGATTTCTTAAGAGGAAAGAAGCACCTGGTGCAAATCTGGACACCTAGTATGTTGTATGAAAAGTATTAGTAAATGAGGGTCCAGCAGTCTCGCGTCTGTTGTGCCATGTTGTGAGTGGTACTTGTGTGTCCCTGATGTGCTGAACGAAAGTTTTACCGAGTTTTAGGTGTTACTGAGCAGCCCCACTCCCTCCGGGCTGTGTGTGTGTTGCTGCTGGGTGTTAGGCACCTCCACAGGGCAGCGGTGACTGGGCTGTAAGCGGTATGCCTGGCATATCCCTGGGCTCAGAGGTGACAACCGGTGCGTTATTGCAGGTGCCACGCACAGCGCAAACAGAGCAATTCCGTCCACTCATTGCGTTTAGGCTGAGGTGTGTGGAGCTGAGGGCAGCGGAGATCGCAGGCCGGCCGTGTGGGGTAGGAAGACGGTGCTGCAAACGTCGTGGGTCCCACACCTGTCGGGGATCGGGGACAGGGCTCGCGAGGGCCGACGGCAGGTTGTCCCACACCTCCTGGGGCCAGGGCGCCGACGGTAGCGTGCGCGCGTGAATGCAGCTGGAGGATCGGTCCGCACCTCCGACTGCGAGCTCGGTGCGTGTCGTAGGAGGTGTCGTTACACACTTCCTGTGGGTCTCACAGACCGCGGCGCGCTTCCGGTGCCGGCTGGAGCCCCCGGTCCGAGCCCCCGCCCCGCGCTCGGCTCGGCCCCGCCCCACCCGTGCCCCGCCCCCACCTCGCCTGCCGCGCTCCAAGCTGGGCGCGCGGAGCCCGGGGCGCACGG